ACGCCGTGTTGGGGCGTCTTAAAACGTTAACTGCTCAATTACTATCCATGAGGAATTCCCGGTCTTTTACGAGAGGCTTGAATGGGGGGGGGAGTTAGTGTCCGGAGAGCTCAGCGATGCGGTAGTCGGAGTGGTTGGAGAGTTCAGAGCAGAATTCGGCATTTGGCTGAAGTTGGGAGTTCAGTCCCCCGTTGCGCATCCTAGAAGAACCAGCCTGGGTGGCCTTGGGTGAATTGCCCAGTCCCAGGACACCTCCCAGAAGATGGAAGTGGTAAAACACTTCTGTGTACGTAGTCTCTACCTAGAAAAAAGTCAAGAAAAGGGTCATCGTATCTCAGAATTGATTTGATGGTACAGGATTATTTGGGATACCCAATGTGGAGGGTATTCAGAAGGCCAGGGTTCAAACGCCCTTTCAGCTATGGAAACTCACTGGGAGTATGGAACTGGTAAAACCACTCCTTGAATATTTCATTTACTGTACCTTGAAAGCTCCCTTAGGCTCACTATAAGTGGGTTCCTACTTGAAAGCGCATAACAACTGACAATGAATTCTTAACACACCTGCTAATTGGCTGTAATGCCAGGATCTCTGTCTTACCAGCAAGACACATTTGTGAATGGCTGGTATTTATAATTGTTGGTAATTTTTGCATTTAGTTCTTCATTGAACTCTTCAGCCTATGGCTACCATTGAATTAGCTGAGTATGCACCTATAAATGCAATTGATTCAATAGATCTATCCATGGGGTTCTGGCCATTGTGTACAACCCTTTTCCCCAACCGTGCTGGGAAATTCTAGATAAGATTTCATCCATCTTGCTGAAACTATTCACAAAAGGTGGTGCTTTTCGTTATATGCTGTCAATTTGCATCCAACTTGTAGAGGCGTTCATAAGGTTTTCAAGATATGTGAGACATTTAAGTCGTCTTAAGTTTTTACCAGTGCCATCACCCTCTCCCTGTGAGTTTTTGTGACCAAGCAAGAAAATGAACCCAGGTCGTCTGATCTGAAACCAGTTCTGTCACTCTATCCACTCTACAACTGTCAGAAGACTCTAGTTTTTGCAGCAAAATAAATACATTGTGAAATAAGTTTTCATAGTTCACAATCCACTTCATCAAGTACTAGAAACTAGAAAACACAATTTATTGTCTATTTGTTTAAAATATACCCTGACTTCTTCCTCAAGACCCAAAGTTGCTCAGAATATTAAAAACAATCTTGAAAACTGGAAAGAGAAGGGGAAAACAAATCAAAACAAACACAGCATCCCAACTCTTAGGCAACTAGTCACAGGAGAGGATATATTTAGTGGTAAGTTTACAAGGAAGTAAAAAGTAAAAAATTCATGGTGAGTACGTTAAAGCTTAAATATATTTCTATTGACTTTAGGTGCTTCTAGATGGCCAGTTCCTAGCAATTTCATTATTCAGTTCCAAATGAAGCATGGCTGTTGTGCAATTTGTACATCTTTATGTCTCTAAAAGAAACAGGTGGAAGATGACAGTGTCTGAATGCCCTGTAGAATTCTCTAAAGGAGGTAGGGCAATTACAGGAAAATTGGAAGAGACAGTCATATAATAAGAATCGCACCACAAATATTGTCAGCCCTCCCATGTAATTTGCAGATAGCACATCTGTGTTCTAAAATTTGATCAACAATCTGAACTAACAAATAATGAGCCATAATATTCCTTTGGATACACAGAATTTTAAGACTAGGAAGCAGTATAAAATACTCATGGAGTATTTTCAAAAGCTTAATAATGACATTAAGCTTTTGAAAACTCCATGATCTTACTTCAAAATAGTTCCTGATGAATGTAGGGTTTCTGTTTCGTTTCAACAATTGTATTGGCTTTATCAAACTTATACAAATAAGTTAATCATGATTTATTTATTTATTAAATTTATACCCCGCCCCTCTAGACCATGTCTACTCGGGGCAGCTTACAACATAAAAATCAATATAAAATATATATAATCATTAAAAATACAGTTACTATATTAATTAAAACAATTAATTTAAGAAAAAAATTACCAAGATGGGTAAGATAAGAAGAAATAAAAAGACTTAGCTGACTGGAAGGAAGGCCTGCTTAAATAGCCAAGTTTTTAACTGGCTTTAAAAAGCACCCAGCGAGGGTGCCAGCCGAATTTCTGTTGGGAGGGCGTTCCACAGTCGAGGGGCCACCGCCGAGAAGGCCCCCTTTCTAGTTTTTTCCTTCTGAGCCTCTCTCGGCGTCAGACCCCTCAGCCATCCCTGCTGGCTATGGCAGGTGATTCGGGTAGATCTGGGTGGGAGAAGACGATCTGCCAAATACTGAGGTCCCAAACCGTTTAGGGCTTTATAAGTGATCATTAGCACTTAGAAGTCGACGCGGAAACGAATGGGCAACCAGTGCAAAGCAGCCAGAGTGGGGGAGATGTGTTGGTGTTTTCTCACCCCACTAAGTAGCCTGATTGCCGCATTCTGGACCATCTGAAATTTCCGCATCAGCCTCAAAGGCAGCCCCACGTAGAGTGTGTTAAAATGGTCTAATCTCGAGATTACGAGCGCATGTACTAGAGTAGTGAGGGCCCCCCGATCAAGATATGGACGCAGCTGGGCAATCCGCCATAGATGAAAATAGGCGGAGCAGACCACGGACGTCACCTGGGTTTCCATGGTAAGCGCCGGGTCCAGATGTACCCCCAAGCTGCGAACCTCATTCTTTGCGGCAAGGGTCATCCCCCTGAAAGAAAGGGAGTTACCTATACCGCTGACAACCTATTCGACTGATAATGATGCCTTATAAGTTGTACCAGATAGCTTTTAACAGTGTCATATAAAAATATCAAACATTTAAAGGCAAGCTTCTAGAAATGGTGTCACGGTAAGACTCATAAATGTACTTTAATAAATATTATTAATATATTCCTGGAATGAGTTAGGGGAGAAACTCTATTACTGTAGTTTGGGTGTGTGCTCCCAGTAATAATAATAAATGTTATTGGGGCAGTGGGGGAAAGACTTGTTCAAATTATAGACTTGAATACTATTGGTGTTCATGCAAGTTTTGTGTAACTTGCTATAGCTGTGATGAGGTCCCGGGAAGCATCTCAGTGCATATTTGGGCATGTAACCAGGTACACAACAGAGACATGCCCCAACACCACATAATTTAGCCAATTAAATGTGGCAAGTTATGCAGACCTTACATGAACAGTAACAAGATTCTGGCTGTAGAAAATAATGTTGATAAAGAAGCATTGACTGCTGGAGATTTCATTTCATTGATTGGTGGTTTCAGCTCAAATGGACAAGTTAAATTTATTTATTTACTTAAAATATTTTTACTCCACCTTTCTCTTTCAAAAGTAACCAAGGTGGCTTACATTATTAAAATGCACTATTAAAGCTAACAATAGTAAGTATACAAATACTAAAAAGGATCCAACAAATACTATGTTAAAAAACATAAGCAACACCAAAACATATTCAAAGTAGTAAGTTGCAACAATCCATTTTAAAATGTTAATAATCAGACAGGATTTATCCAATGAGAGGTGAAATTAAAAGTAGAAAAATGCTAATAGACATTTGTCATAATTATGTTTCAGTGGGTAGAGGCCATAATCCCTTTGCAGTTAAAAAAAAACCTTGATTATTTAAAGAAAGGCAAGAGTAGTCAATACCTTTATTAGGCCACTGAAAAAACTGAAAAAACAGCAAGCTTTCATGGATGACACCCACTTTTTCAGGCATAAGCACTGATATTTTATGGACAGTGCAGAGAAATGGTAAATGAAAGAAAAGAAAAGTCATGACAGATGTCTGTGCCAGGTCTGTATGAGGTGAGTTCAAATGCTGGCTGCTGGTAGGGGTCCCTGTCTCAAGCCCCACCTCTGGCAGTATGGTCAGAATTTTCCACCCAGGTCTTCAGATGCCAATTACCCTATAATTGCCCACACACGTGTGCGCACACAAACACAGCCCCCTTTTGAAAACTAAAGTTCCTTTTTGGCCATGGGGCAGGGGTAAGAGAAGACAAAGCATAACAGCCTCCATCAGAAGATTGGAGATAAAATGTTGTTTACTCACCATAGAAGCAGCCAATTAAAGCCAAGTTAATAGTGTTGCCTGGTGAGCATCAGAAGTCTGAAAGCTTTAAAAAACTGGAAATGCTCGACCTAGTTTACATTTTGGATGTGAAAGCACAAGGAGATTTTGGAAGAATTTTTTTAATTAAAAATTGGGTGCGGGCACTGGTGGTTCCAGTTTGAACCCCAAGAAGGGCAATGTCCCCAGGTATACAAATAAAAATTAATAATAACATATCCATTATTGGTCTGCCAGGAGTAGAATTGTCTTTAAACACTTTAACATTGGCTTTGCCAAAGATCTTCCATGAAGCAACATCCATCTTGGGGAGCCATCTTGAATACAAGAATGACTTGCACTCAACAGTTTCCTCCTCTAGCCCATCCCTTAGCAGCCACTTAGTCCTCCAATTCTAGACCACCAACAGGCAGGCAAAATGTAAAACTCAGCTGACAGACTGGACAAGAAGAATAAGGAGTGAAAGGAGCAAGTGAAAAAAGGAATGTTTTGGATGAGCCTAGATGAGCAATAATAGTATTTATTACCAGTCCTGCATGGTATTATTTTATGTAGACCTATCAGCATGGATGCAAGTTGTCTTCTGTCTTCATAGCTTACAGAGG